ATTCAGATCTAAAAGGAGCTATTCTCACAGATCTTCAGCAGCTAAATTCTTAGCCTGATCCTAATCTTCTGGTGCTAAATTTATCTAAAACAAATATTTTGTCATTTATTAGATGCGATTTAGGAGTCGCCAACGTCCACACTGTTCCTATTGAATGTTGACCTGAGACCGAGACTAAGTTTCTAGGACGTATTATTATTGATAGTGAATTGAGTTTTAAATCTCATATTGTCAGTCTTTCCAAGAAAATATCATGTGGTTTTTTTTTTTAGTCAGAATAACGACCATTGAACTGGGACGTTCCTTGTCCAGATCGGTTTATTTTGCCTTGATTGAGTCAAGGTTAAGATATGGTACATATCTGCTTCTGAGGGCTCTATTCCCAGAATCTGTTAGACTCTGTTTTTATATCACAGAAGCAGGCTCTTAGGTACATCTGTGGTGATAACAAAACAATAGAGATCACTGCAGACCTTTATTTAAAAAGGAAAAAAAATCTAAACTTTATACAGTCTGTTTATTCTAGTAACAGTCACACTTGTCTACAAAAATCGGCACAGATTTATATCCCATATATCTATTTGACCCGAAACAATGTCCAACTTAATGTTTCCCATACCCCACTCCACACTGGTGAAAAAATCTGTTGTATATGAAAGCATTAAAATTTACAACCATTTGCCAAGGAATTTAAAGGGGGTGTGCGCCAAAAAAACAACTTCATCTCAAAAGAAAGAGAAAAAAAATCTAAGAATAACATTGAAATCCGCACCCCTCTATGACAAAAATAATACCGCAGATACGGCTCTATGAAGGTACGGCATCTCACCCTATAACGTCACGAAAGCTCAAGTGACGCACGAGAAAGTGGAGTTTATTAAATTTACATATGTTTTTCCCGACGTTTTTCCTGTGTTACCTGCAATAATCTAAACAAAAACCACTCGGGCGTGCCGGGAACAATCAAATTAACAATGTGGAGCGCGGCTGGAAGAAGTTTTCGTGACGTCACGAGAGCGTCGTCCACACTTTAAAGCGGTATATCTCAGCGATGGTTTGTCGTAGAATAACGAGGTTTGAACAGTTATTCTTAGATTTTTTTACACTAAAACTTTAATTTTTGGCGCACACCCCCTTTAACATCCATCCCCTCCCTGAGACATTTTAGGAGGGAAATTGAGATATTGCTGGTTGGTGCGGCTTATTATAGTTTGAACGAATTTTACTGTGATAGTTTTTAGTTCAGGATTTTGTTGTTGTTTTTCATTTTTTGTTGTCAGATTTTTTACTTACAATTTTTTGATAGCATTTTAGGATATAAATTTATTATGACTTTATTTTCAAGATTATTTTTGATACTTTGTCAATTATGATGTACTTTGGACAATACAGCTAACTTATTTGAATTTGAATATGTTCTTCAATCAAAAATGGCAACTTTGTTCTAAATTAAACGCCCTCGTAACTTTAACCATTTCTCCAATTAAAAATGTCATTTTAAGGGATACTTATCGTTAAGGCTTCCTTAAAATGTTCGGTGCAAACGGCCATTAGACATCAAATTACCTGTATCTCGAACACTATTTATAGTATCGGGTTGGGCTTATGAGAACTTTTTATCAGAAAGTCAAGATATACCACCGAAATATCAAAATGTCATTCCATTAAGTTTGGCAGAAAACTAAAAACCCATAAGAGGTGTGCAGGGTCCTTTTAACTTTATACAGTATGTTTATTCTATACCATTTCCAGCATTATTTCACACTAGTGAAATTTGATTTCAAATTCATGAAAACTAAATTCACACCAGTAAAATCTAATTTCGCAAATTTCACCAGGAGGCAGTGAAATTTTTGAGCACTTATTTTCCCAGTTAGTGTATATTAAATAGTTTGTTCTCTTGGTGATACAAAACAAATATATTTGAGTTTCGCAAAAATTTTTGGATGGGTTCACAAGATCAATGAAAAATACAAGTTCACATTCACTACAATAGAACCCAAAGTATATGAAAATAGCAATTTGGCTTATCTCAGATAGTGGAAAGTGAGTCTGGCTGAAATTTTTCGGATCTTCAATTTTTAACTTGCCAGACTTATTATCCATACTCACAGATTAGCCAGACTATATTTTTACGTAACTTCAGTATACTTCTCATGAGTTAGACCTATTTTTATCACTGGAAAAAAAAGGGCCGTGCATTCTTAAACTTTAATGTATTTTGCGCCTCAATTCATCGGAAAACCCCTCCTAAAAATATATGAATTTTGCTTAGAATTACTAACCCTATCCATGTTGTCTGACTTGGAACATAAGTGCCAAAAATCGTCATCAACCAAGTGGAATACACAAGGTAGAACAGTTTTGATTGACCTAGGGCTATTTTCATCTGTTTTCAACAAAGCCGCCAAATAATCACTCAACATGTTGAGTGCTGGCGAACGCGACCAGCTACCTATTCAACCCACACACTTTTATAAACGAATGTCGCGTCTTGCCTCAAATTTGTCAAGCCAGCCGGAACTGATTTGAAACTTGAAAGTCAGTCTTTTCGGTGATGATTCACTCATAGAAATATTGGGCTTTTGTGCGTAAGGTTTCACTAGAGACAGGAACGTGATTTTTACATTGTTGAAGAAAGCAACTGTACAACGCCTCTTCCACTTCAGGATTTTCAGGCTATATATATATCTTTGATGCAAACTCAAAGCCAAGCATTTATCCATAAAACTTACCAACATCAGTGCACGATCTCACACACAAATTTCGTATCCTCGCTGTGTGTTTATTTACATTGAATGCTGATGATTTTGGATTCTTGGAAAATTTCGCAACATGCCGAACCGTCACCTGCACCTGCATCTTAACTGTTAATAATTTTACTCCCATTTTAATCCATAGAAAAGTGTTTATATCTTTTTTTGTTTTTAATTTTCCACCTCTTTTTTTAGATTTCATTTTTTCCATTCTTTTATTTTTTGTTTATTTTTGGCTCTTGAATTTTCTTTATGTTTTTTTTTTTTAAATTAAATGTTCAATAAAAAATACATAAACATAAAGTCTGTTTTTTTTAAAAGATAATTAATTCTCCAAGTCAAAAATTTAGTAACTATGTTGGCAACACAAGCCTTCTCTACATAAAAAATTTGAAAGCATTGACAATTTTACAATGTATTGCCAACATAATGTCATTTTGACTTTTATCTTTAAAAAAAAACATACTTTATGTATATTGTTAACTAGCTGGAAAGAAGGACCCGGTATTCAACCTTAATAATTGAATTGCCGATTCGATGGGATGTTTATGCAATTCATCAATAAATTGATATAAATAGTTGGCCAAGCTAAGCAACAGGCAGACTTAAACCAGTGCAACTACCTCTCGTTGGGAAAGCCTCTCTGGGTATCTTCAGCCTTATCGTTGTCCAGTGCAATTATCTCTCGTTGGGAAAGCCCCCCTGGACAAGGCATAAGGGTGATGATAACTAATCGACAGTCTCCCAAGCAGCGTTGACGTGTGGCTCCCTATAAGGGGCCCAGTGTTTGGAGGGTCATGCATCTTATAGGACTAGCGTACATGTAAGGGATATTTGGGAAAATATATATCTACACTTTTATATAACTTGAGCGAGTTTCTCTCCATCAACCCCCAAAGCTACAAACCCCCCCCCCCCCCCTCCCATGTCACTCCCGTAAAGCGGGCACTTGTGACAATATTAAATTTCAATTTTTTGATCACTGACAGACCATAAGATTCAATTATTAACTGTAAATAAACACAATGTTCGGGAAAATCCAATACAGAGAAGAGTAATGAAGTATATCCTCGAGTATATCAATGAACAAAAATTTTGTGAAAGGGTAGAGGAAGAAATAGAAAAAAATACCATTAGAGATTTTGAGTCTCACTAGAATAGTAAAAGACACATACGAAAAAGAAAGCAACGAGAGATGTAATCATAAAAGATAGAAACAAACATTGGATAAACAATAAATTCTTGAATCTTATTAAACAAAGAGACAAAGTATATGTAAGATACAAAAATAATCCTCAAAATTAACATATTATTGATGAGTTTAAAAAGTTGAAAAACCGCTCTGATTCAATGAGAAACAAATTAAAACATAAATACTTAACTAGATTCAAAATTTCACCAAGCAAAAAGAGATTTGAGGACGACATGAAAAGCTGTTAATCTCTCTAGTTTGTCTGTAGGTTGTTGAAGTACAGTGGGTCAGATGGCTATCTGGTGCAGTGAAAATGGCCTTCGGCTAAGTACTGACGAGATTGGGCTTGTGGTGTTCAACAAATTCAAATTCAAAAAAGCTTTATTGTCCAAAGTACATAAAGTTCTCATTGACTAAAATTTCGAACTTCTTAATCGACTTTAATTTCATGAAGATGAAGCGAGTAAAAGGAAATTTTTATTTCTTCTCCTAAATTTCAATCTTCTCAATCTCAATCCACTTGCAAAATTTCGTTCCAATGCTTCCAACATTTTCCTTAAACAAAAAAAAAGTTTTGAAATGTTTCTTTTGAAATTTGGTGCTTTCTAAAATGACTTTTCAAGAGCTTGGAAAAACCAAAATTGATATGAAAAAAGTAATTATTATTGAAAAAATTCCTCAACAAATCAGGTCGTGGGTAGACTATAAAAATCAAATAATAAAACAATTATTATGCAATAAAAGTACACTTTTTGTTTGGTTTTGGTTTCCCAAAATGACTGTTTTTATGAGAGATAAGTATCAAACAAACTTATTTTTCTACAAAAATTTCAGAAAAAGTGTAGGTCAGTCAAAGGACAACAGTCAATACTAATTCTAATATTTGTAATTTTTCTTTGTACATAGTTTTATAGGTAACATTCCTTGATCAAAAGAATGTCTTTTTATCGAAATTTCCAGGTTTTCATGTATATTTTTTAGTTTAAATCAAATTATTTTATTCTTTGTTTTTTTTCTAATTATTATTTATATAGAAAACATTTTTATTCCAGGTTAGTGGGCCACTTTACAAGGAAGTAAAATTTTTGTTTCGACCCCACAGCAAAGTAAAGCACACGCAATTGGTTGCCCGCAGGACCCCACCCTCACCACGGAGAGCCCCAGGCAACCGGGGCCACAAGCAGCTCGTGCATCGGGGAAGGTAACAATATTTTCTTAGTTTTTCTATTTATTTATTTCAAATAAGATTTAAATGAAAATATTCACTTTTCCATGTAATTTTAGGACGGCTACGCCGCCCCTTCCGCCAATAAACGACGCTGGGTCCCACCATCGACGCTCCGGCTCCGCGATGCGGCTGCCACGCCTGAGTCTCGTAATGACCAGGTATTCCGCAAGGTAACTATCGTGTACTTATTTTAATTTTTAAGCAAGGAGATTTACAATTTTTCAATGGGTATGTTTTTTTTTTTGGTTTAGGTCCGGGGTATTCTCAACAAGCTCACTCCAGAGAAATTCCAAAAGTTGAGCGATGACTTGCTGCGCGTCGAGCTGCAGTCACCCGTCATCTTAAAAGGAGTGATCATCCTTATCTTCGATAAGGCGCTAGATGAGCCGAAATACTCGTCGATGTACGCTCAGCTTTGCAAAAGACTGAGCGAAGAAGCGCCAAATTTTGAACAAGGCGACGGTAGCATCAACACCTTCCGCATCCTCCTGCTGAACAAGTGCAAAGTCGAGTTCGAGAATCGGGCGGCCGCCGTAGCGCGCAACAGCAATGGCATCGCCGAGGGCGGCTCTTATCTCGACAGAGAAGAGCTGGAGGAGCGGCGTCAAACGGCCAAACGCAAGATGCTGGGCAACATTAAGTTCATCGGAGAGCTCGGCAAATTGGAGATACTATCCGAGAGCATATTGCATAGGTAAGTTAGCCAAAAACTATTTAAGAGAGAAATATAATAAATAATTGTTTGATTGTAATCAAGGTGCATCAAAGAATTGTTGGTGCGACGCGGCGACGACCCCTCCGAAGACCTGGAGTGCCTCTGCCAAATCATGCGCACGTGCGGTCGCATCCTCGATACGGAAAAAGGAAACAACCTCATGGACCAGTACTTCAATCGGATGCGCACGCTGGCAGAAAATATGGATCTGCAGCCCCGGATAAGGTTCATGCTGAAAGACATAATCGATTTGAGAAACGACAAATGGATGCCGAGAAAGGCCACTGTGGTCGAGGGGCCGGTTCCGATGGCCCAGATAAGACCGGCCGAAAACGACAGGTCCGGGTTCAGGAGAGACAGGAACCATCAGCACGGCGACAGAGACTCTGACCGCAACCATACCGATATGTTGTTTAGGCACCCGATGAGAACCAGAGGCGGTTTTGATGATATGCTTTCGGGATTGAATTTGACATCGCCGGCGCCGCTTATACCGGTAGGACCTCCTTTTGGTGGACCTAACGGTTTTGGAGGACGTGATGGCAGAGACGCCCCCTTTAGAAACGACAGAAGAACTAATCAGGGCTTCAACAATGGCAATTATGAGGGCAGCAGGCGTGGACATTACAAACACAACCAGAACAATTCAGGGTCCAATTTCAATAATCGTAAGTTATATTATTTAGAAGATTTTTTAAAATATCCTCCGCTTAACTTTTTTAAATATCCTCTATTTTATTTCAAACATCCTATACTTTATTTCAAACAACTCTTCTATGCTTCTCTTTCTTGAAGGATTTTTAGCGTACAAACCTAACTGTCACTGTCAGCATTATATTTTATAGACTATCTGCATTCTGCAGAAGTGCGTTCTACAAATAACTATAACATTTTCATCCTATATAAAAACAATTTCAGAATCAGGCAAAGATCTACCGCCACGTTTCAAACGCAACAATCTCATCGTGGCGAAAGAGGAGCTGCAAGAAGTCGAGCTGCGTCCCAACTCGATGCTGTTCCACAAGGCGTCGGTGCGCAATCACAACGCTGCCAACGCGCAGCCGCAGCGGCCCGCGCAAGTCGAAGTGCCGTCGTTCGGGGGCGGCAAACAGCCGCCCAGCGCCGTCAAGGAACCGTTGCCAATGAAACAGCTGGCCCAGGACAAGCCCAAGTCTAAGAAAGACAAGGTGAGTGTTTGAGTTTGGAATTGAAGGGTGTTATGTATCCAGACTTCATAATGATTCACGTTTAATAACTGGAATAGTTATTAACGTTATAAGGCCGATAAGTAGCAAATAACGGCCGGGCTGAAATTTTTGATCTGAGGCGATAGCCGAGGATCATAATCAGCCAAAGCAGCTGTGTTTCCTCCGTGTTTTGTTTTAGATTTTTCGTTGGGCTGAAGATTTCTTTTAATATGCCAAAAAAATACTCTCCTGGCCAGCGACCTGTTATTTTTTATTTAACCAGCCGGCTCGTCAAATATACCTTTTCGATTTCAATTTCGCTCATGTTATGTTAAGATAACATTACAGTATTACAAAAAACGTTTATTCTATTGAAAGGACATAATGCGCTTTTTCACTAATTTTTGAAATTGACATTATTTGAATAAAGCAACTAAAAACAGAATTTTCTGTATTTTTACTTTTGAAAAATTCATAGTCCTTCTTGAGAAAACAGAAAAATAAGAAATACCTCCAAATAAAAACCCAGAATTTATTTCTATGACGTCGCAGCTCGCAATTTGACCGTGTTGCCACTAATTGTCAATATTGAAAATTTGTAATAGATTTATAAATTCTGAAATGTTGGATAAATATCATAAAAAGTAGTTCAATTAATTAATTATGGATTCAAGATTTTATAACATTTTTTTTTTAAATTATGCTTAAACACAATTTATTACAATTTTTTATGTTTAGTTTTATTTATTTTTTTTTACGTTGCACTACATTCAGTCACAACCGACAACAGCGCATTCGAACCTTGCTGTGTTTTTACAGAGCGCAACACAGCCGAGCCAGTCAGCTTCTTGCAACATGAGCGAAATGGAAAATATTTATGTGACGTCAGCGAATCGGCGCGTTTTAAATGATTTTGAATTTCGCTAGTTTCAAATGCCTATAAAAAACTTATTTAACCTTGTAGAAAATTTTTTTTTGATATATATGCCTAAAAAAGTCCCTCCTTTGGGATTTTATACTTAAATTACGTATTTAAATTTTAGTGAAAGAGCCCATTTATGCACTTTTTGGGAAAATATGCTAGAAAAATTGTTTTGTACATTTGTACCCCACCCTGGAAGACAAAGGTTAAGAAGAGTGCTCCAGTGACAAAGAACTCAGCTGTCCCAGTTGCCGCTGGTTAAAGGTTTGACTGCACTGTTGCCAATTGTGACTAAATGTGGTGCGTCGTCAATTTCATTTTAAAACTCTCCAGCAAATTTATATTAATAATTGGCAATAGCCATATTATTTGACTCTGTGGATGACACCACAGTCTCCATGTCGGCGGGATCGGTTGATCAGGCGGTCCTACAGCTTGAAGCCATACATGATAGGATGAAGGAATGGTTTAACTTTAATAGGATCCTCATGAATGAAGACAAAACAGAGACATTGGTTTTCCCATCAGAGACTGCAGGGGTGTAAATGAAAAAGTTAGAAAAGTTCGTTTTCTTGGACTATACATTGACCCCACTCTTACATGGCATGTCCAAATCGATCAAGTTTCATCAAAGCTTAGCAAGGCTCTTTTTACTTTCATAGTGTCTCAGATAATGTGGTGAAAACTTTGCATCTTCGTACCATGTTATCGGATAAATCCCAATCGCGCTATTAGATCAGGTGGTAAACGGATATGAGTATGCAAAATGCGAGGACCGGTAAAAATGCTCAAATTCGTATTCCTGTGATCCTAAAGAATGGGAAAGTACATCTTGCCGGCAGCTGGAGTGGTCCCTAACTCTCCTGCCATCCCCCAATGCAAACTTATAATATGGAAAATATCACAATTTCAAGTCATTTCACAATAATTCCTATTGATTGTACCTAAGGCGTTCTTTTCAAGCACACAATAGTATATTGTTGTATTAGGAGTAGAAGCTTCATTTTTTTGTGCTGAAGCGGTAGATTTGCGAACGGAACGTAGTGAGTAATGAAACTTTTCACTGAGGTATGTATACTATTTTATTTACAATCATTCGAATTTTGAAATTTTTATTTGAATTAAAACTAGAAAAATATAATAATTAACAATTTCATTTACTTACATCAAGAGAAACAAGAATGTATCCAGGTGGAATTGTATGAGTTCTAAGTTTTTTCACAAACTTGAAGGAGTTATTCACCAGATATTGAAACGTTGGAACCAAGTAATTCAAAATTTTGGCTACGAAACTGGGGACTGGAGATGTTGTAAGTGAGCGAAACGTTGGCAAAGACTTAACAGGCCTTTTATTTTTTTGTCTTAACCGACGAATCACCCCCTTTCATTGGATACCAATAGGACACGAACTTCTCCTAGTTGTTTATTTATTTATTTATTTACGGGCAAGACCCATTAAAAGTTTCAAAAGAAAAAAAAAACAAGAAACATTAAGTACCTTACAACTAAATAAACATAGGCCAGTAATACTTCGCGTAGTAACAGGATAAAAATACATATAAATTATTAACAGTAAAACATTAAATCAGTTATAGGTATAAGAAAATAGAGGACAAACATAAATAATGACTGATCAAGATGACTAGAAATTCTTAGCTATCGAACTTGGCATCACAAACAAACGAGGAGAATTACATTAGAGAGTTAAGCTCTCTTTTAAAGCTATTTATGGGTCCAAAAAAATCCAGGCTACCATGGGTGTTACATAATCGAGAAGTTCTGGAGATGAATGTATTGAAACCATAGTTTGTACGGTGATTTCTTTCTGAGAAGGTTATGGCAGAGCGGGTGTCCCTTGCTGGGACGTGAAGCCCTATTCTGGACAGTAGGTATGCGGAATCACTAATGGAGTTCAGTACCTTGTAAAAAGTATATAAATCTCTTTGATTGCGTCTAGCTGCCAAGGGTTGTAGATTGAAGCGTCTGTATAGGTCGTCATAGTCATATACATAGTTCTCAAGCGAAGGAATACCTGCCTTGAAGGCTAAATAACGTACGAATTTGCGCTGCACTAGCTCTAGGGCTCTGATATGATTAGAATACATTGGTGACCAGACAGAGGAGCAGTACTCCATCAGGGGCCTCACCATTGAGCAATAAAGGTATCTGATAGAATCTATGCTTGTAAAATCTCTCGAACACCTCTTAATGAAGCCTACAAGTTTTAACGACCTTGTTGTGATGTCTGAAATATGGGTGATAAAATTGAGACTGCTGTCAAAAATGACACCAAGATCTCGTTGTTGTGGTTGTTGTGAGACAGTTTCAAGCGGAATGTTGTTTATATGGTACGCGAATTGTGGAGGGCTACGACCCTTGGAGAAAACAATGGCTTTGCATTTGGAAGCATTGAGCTCCATGGCGCTCAAAGCGCACCACTCAGAGAGTCTGTCGAGGTCAGATTGTAGTCTGGCACAGTCTTCAATAGAAGAGACCCGGGTGAACACCTTTAAATCATCCGCAAAGCACAGGAACTCACTGTTAATAAAACAAGACTTGATATCGTTAATAAAAACGTTGAACAGCAGAGGTCCCAAGTGAGAACCCTGTGGAACGCCCGATGGGATGTCAATTTCGTGTGAGAAGAAGTTGTTAACTTTGATTATTTGAGTTCTCTCCCCAAGATAGTCGCTAATCCACTTCAACAAAGTACCGGAGATTCCAGCACTTTCAAGCTTAGCAAGCAGAACGGCATGGTTGACACGGTCAAAGTCAATTTTTTTTTTGCAATGCATGTATTTTTCGACTATTTTCCTAGACTAACTGCATTTTAAATTAATTATCAAATTTTTTCGTTAAATTTGAAGACATATATCGCAAAATTGTGATAAAATGATAATGGGAATAATTACGATATTTAATAAAAAAAATGTTATTGTTACTAAAAAAGTCTTTTAGCAATAAAAAACATTTGTATAGATTTACTAAATAAACAAATTTAAAAGTAAAAAAAAAAAAAAAAAAAAAAAAAAAAAAAAAAAAAAAAAAGGCCTTTGCAAAATCGGTATATATGGAGTGAACTAACTGATTCGCCATCCTCAAGAATTCTTGAAACTTTGTCCTGGTAGGACAGGAGATTGGTTTCAGTTGAGCATTTTGGACGGAAACCGGTCTGCTGCTCAATTAGACAGGGATTGATTTTTGGAGTTAAAAACTTTGTCACTATGCTCTCAAATACCTTTGGGAAGGTGTTTTGGATGATAATGGGTCTGTATTTTGAAATATCCATTTTATCGCCAGATTTATGAATGGGTATGGTGAAGCTCTGCTTCCAGAGTTTAGGAAATTCACCCAAACTGAGTGACTTATTGAAAAGAATGAAAAGTGGACGGGATAATACAAAGCTACAATTCTTTATCATAAGAGGTGGGACACCGTCTGGACCTGGACCCTTAAAAGACTGCAGGCTACATAGTTCTTCATAAATAACTGATATTGAGATGTTAAATTCATGAATATGTGCATCGCTCCGAGAGATGTCCTGACTAGCAACACAGATTTTGTTGGAATAAACAGAATGGAAGTATTCAGCAAAGAGATTAGCTATCTCTGAACCATTTTTGGCAATGTTGCTATTATAAAACATGTGAGACGGCAAACCATTCGCTTTTCGCTTGGCATTGATAAAACTCCAGAAGTGTTTGAGGTTGTGATCATTCAGCAGTGACATTTCAGAGCGCTGCACATAATTCAGATAGGAGTCCTTTGAAAGAGTCTTACACCGAGTGCGAAGATTCGAGAAGTTGTCATAGTCACTAGGAGAGTCAGTCCGCTTCCAGGTTCTGTGTGCTTCTTTCTTCTTGATTATGAGTTCCTTTAGGTCGAAGGGGAACCATTTAGGAAATTTATGGGTGGAAAGCTTTTTCTTTGGTACAAAGCAGTCAATAGCAGTGTAAAGAATGTCATAAAAAATACTGACCATTTCTGCTACAGTTGGGCCTTGGAGTAAAGCATCCCAGTTGATCATACTTAGATGATCATTGAGAAGTGCATACTCGGCAGATTTAAAATCATAGTA